ACCCCCACAAGGCCTTGGTTTCCGCCCTTTAGAACTGTGCAAACTGTGGGACCAGCCCAGTGTTTGCAGAATACAGGAACAAACTCTGCCTAGGAAGGCAGGAGAGAAAGTCTCCTGCTTCCTGAGAGGGGTGGGGGGAGGCTAGAGGGGAATCCCAGAGGAAGAGCCCCCAGCGGGGGGATTCTGGCCTCCATGCCTCCTGCTGGCCATAGAGTAGGGGAACTCCTCCTAGAGGTTGGTCCTTTGCTTGAAGGCCCTCTGCTCAGTGCACCCAAGGAATTATCCCGCAGCCTCTAACCTTGAGCTACCTCTCAAAAGTGAGGTGCACACAGTTCCCCAGATCAGAACTGGAGTTGAGGCTTTGGGGGGCCACTGTCCTAGCATGGCATGTGCGGGACGGGGGCACTCCCACCTTTGGACCTTTGGCTATCCAAGTGTTCCTCCAGGGCAGCCTCCTGGCTTCATGTCTTAATCAGCCCCTGGATTGTTGGTCCTGTGTTTAAGGCTCGTAGCTTAGGAAAGGTAGAGACCCGGGTGAAATTGAAGGCTTCTTAACCAGAGTCCTTGGATAAGGCCAGAAGCAGATTCTAGTTCCCCAGCCCACAAAAGCCTACCCCAGCTCTTGGTACAAGAGGGAGTTGTCCTGCCCGGTTTTGTCTAACGCCAAATCCATCAAGTGCTTTGAAGACCTCAAAAAAGAGATACAGGTTGGAACCTTGCCATCAGCTTCCACATCCTGACCTGGAAGCTTCTCTGCTGCCTGGTGACCTGTGACAACACTCGCCCACCCCTGGTCCTGGAGATTCATCTGAGATGGTCCTTTTGAAGCCCCTAAATCCCCTATGTCTAAACTAAAAGGAGAGCGAGAACGCCAGAGTAATGAAGAGGACAAGATTCTCTTGTCCTGGTTGGCATGGTCCTCTAGAAGGGAAGCTGGCAGAAATAACACTGTAGATAAAGGCTCATGCGAGTGCTTCCCCAACCTGTTAACATTTCTACCAGACACTTCCTGTGAGGATTCGAGGATTGAGCACCAGGTTCAAAGATAACTCCTTCAGCTCTCTCCATAGACCCTGTCCTTCCGCACTGAAACCTCAAAGGACGAGGGAGGGTCTTCTCTTTCCTGGGAATGGGGTGAGGAAGAAGGCATAAGGAAGAATGCAAGGAAGACAGGATTAACACTGAGAAAGGACTAGAAGGAAGGAAAGCTGAAATGAAGATGGAAAGGGGCAGAGGGAGGCCGAGAGGGCCAGGGCCGGGATGAGGAGGCAGAGCCAGCCGCCTCTGCTGCTGGCCAGAGCTCTTTTTACATTGTGCTACTGTCTGCACCTGTCACTAGCAGTGCAATGTTAAAAGGGCATTGGCCAGATAGTGCTACCCAGCGTTGGCTGTCTCCTCAGGGTGGTGGCTTCCTTGCCCATCTGGGCACCAATCATTTACCCTGGTGGGGATTCGGGAAGTCCGCTATTGGTAGACTTACCAATACCTCATGTTTAATGGAGTCATTACCAGTGCGTGCTAGATGCTGCACTGTGAACTCTAATAACTTGGCGAGTATACCCGTTTTACAGATGAAAATAACAGGTCAAGAAAAGCTGTAAGCAGTTCGCTTCATGGTTATACACTTGCTAACTTGCAGAGCCTAGATAAATCAATCCTATCCTCAATGTCAAAAGCTAACCCAGCTTTTTTGTAGACTGTCTGGGGAGGTTTGAGTAGGATTTCTCTTCTGGGGGAGCCCCTGAGTGGTGTAAGATGGCTATCATGCTCAGCTGCTAGCTGAGAAGTGGGAGGTATGTGTCCTTCCAGAGGCTCCTCTGAAGAAAGGCCTGGCAGTCTACTTCCAAAAAAATAAGCCACTGAAAAGCTGTGGCACACAGCTGCTCTGATACACAGGAGGCCGTCATGGGTGGGAAATAACTGGTTTGCTTCTGGGAATGTCCTGATCTGAAGGGTGGAAGGCTTTGAATGCCATCTGCTGGTCGTATGAGGGTATCTCCCAGAGTCTCAAGCCTTTAAGGATAAAAGTGGGCATCTGGTTGTGGAACAGGAAGCAGTTTCCCAGACCCAGCCTTGGGTGGAAGAAATTGGGACAATCCGTCTTGGGCCCAGGGTAGGCCTCCTTGAGAAACGGAGCAGAGGAAAAGGGCTAAACCAAAAAGACTCCCCAGCAAAAAGCACCTGTGTGTCCCCGGCACCTGTTAGTTAAAACTCGTTTCCCAGCTTTTGGCAGGGGTTGGGGGTGGTGGGAAGAAGACCAGCTCCACCTGCGATTCTCAACACGACCCTTCTTGGTCACAGGACATTTGGTGGTGATACTTCTTGAGGGTGCACCTGTTTGGGTATCTAAGATTGAACAGGGCTGCCCATGCCTGATCTAAGCTTTAAAGATAAACACAATCCCTTCAGCTAAGTCCATAGAATGGTTCTTCCAAGAAGATTATAAGGAATTTGAGAGCGGTGACTACATCATTGACTTCTCTGTCTCCCGTGGCGTTCAGTTGGCTTAATGTGAACATGTTCAAGTGAATTGACAGAGTATTTGGTGAGCGTTAAGAAAATGAGTTTGGGCCTCATTTCTAAGGCCACAGCTTAGGGCTGAAGACTTCCTGAGAGAGCACGGGATCAACAGTGCATAGGAAAGGACAGGGAAAAGGTAACCACAAGGAGGAAGTAGGAAGAAAACTGTTACGTGATGGGGGAAGAAAGACTTCTGAACTTTGGTCAGAGTTGAACCCTGGAGGGATAGGGTTTCTGGGCCCCTTGCTGGAGGCCACTAGCTCTGGACATCATTAGGTGTAGATAAAGAAGGATGGGAAAGATGGCCCTGGGGGATGCTGGACACATTCTGGCATGACTTGCACTTCCATTTTCCCTTGCTCTCTCATTTTCCACTTCTCTTCCTTTCCTGCACCCAGACAGCCTGTCCATTCTGACCTGGCAACAGTATTACAGATGTCCCTCAACCTCTTCAGTCTATTAGAACTTCACTTTGAGCCTCCTCTCTGAGCACAAGAGGTTCTGGTGGTGCAGTGCCTAAGGCACTTGACTGCTAACTAGAAGGTTGGTGGTTCAAACCCACTAAGCGGCTCAGCGGAAGGAGGACTGAGCAATTTACTTTCATAGAGATTTACCACCTTGGAAACCCAGTGGGGGTTGCTATGAGTTGGAATTGACTTGATGACAGTGGGTTTTTGTTTGTTTCTCTGAGCACAAAAGAGCCATTTGATGATGCCACTCCCTAACCAAACCCATTGCTGTCCAGTCGCTTCCGACTCTGACCCTAGCGAACAGTAGAGCCACTTCACAGGGTTTCCAAGGCTATACATCTTTACAGAAGCGGACTGCCTCATCTTTCTCCTGCAGAGCAACTGGTGGGCTCAAGGCACTGACCTTTTGATTAGCAGCTGAGCACTTAACCACTTTGCCACCAGGGCTTCTCCCCAGTGCCCTAGAGATGAAATCTAAATTCCCTAAATGGTTTCTGGCCGTTGCCTGTCTCCCATTTCATCTGTCTCTTCACCCACATCTCCTGTACTTCAGCCATAAAGAACTTTGTTTCTTAAGTGAACTAATCTTGAGCTTTTTGGCACACAGTTCCTTCTGCCTGAAAGACTTCCCCCACTCTACTCTCTGGTAGCATAGTGGCTAAGGCACTTGACTGCTAACCAGACGGCTGGCGGTTCAAACCCACTAGCCACTCCTCGGAAGGAAGGTTGGGCAATCCTACTTCCGTAGTGATACTGCCTCGGAAACCCAAGGAGGGGTCGCTATGAGTCAGGTCTGACTCGACGGCACATAACAACAACAACAACAACTCTGTCCACCCAGTGTCTGATCTTTCAAGTGCCATCATAATCACATAGGCAAAGCCGCCTTCGACTCCTGAAATCTAGGTGAAGGTCCTCCCTCTCCTTTGAGCTCCCAGAGTTGAAATTCCCGCTCAGGGTTCTCTGGGCTTAGCTCCAAAAATCCCCTCCTGCTGGAATTTCCTGGTTGTCTCCTCCACCAGCCCATGAACTCGAAGTCAGGCCCTGTTCCTCATCGATTCCCAGGACTTACAGTGCCTGTCTGACAAATAGCTGCTCTAGAATATTTGTATCGACAAATTAATCTGAAAGTAACGATATCGCTTACAAAGCATGTGTTTTATGCTGTGTACAGACCCCATGCAGGTGCCCAGGACCCAGCAACAGGAATTTCACGGCCAAAAAATGCCTTTGGCTCATAGTTGCATTGATGCAATTCTGAATTATTCTGTCCCACTCTCATCAACTGCCAGAGCAGTGCCTTGGCTGACTGATTTTTTCGTTTAGCCTTAAGTGTGGGCAAGAGCTGAGCAAAACATTACAAAACCGAGCTGAAAAGCAGTGGACCCAAGGAAACTGTTCTGGGATCTGTTTCCTCTAGGTGCCCAGTCTTAGACCCAGGCACACACTGATTCATTGCCAAGGGGTCCAGAAGATAAGCTGTTTGGGATGCTTCAGCTAGAGCACAGCTCACAAAACCCATCCCTCGTACTAAGCAAAACCTCACCTGAGTACCTATCTTTTTGTAAAAGCTCAGGTGGTCCTGGGTGGTGCAAACATTTTTCAATCAGCTGCTAACCTAAAGGTTGGTGGTTTGAATCCACCCAGTGGCACTGTGGAAGAAAGGCCTGGCGATCTACTATAAGCTTCCAGAACTGCTATTAATTAGATTCCAACTCATGTCAAGCCCATGTGTGACGGTTGGACTGCCCTCCCAAGGGTTTACTTGGCTGTAATCTCTTGAAAACCCTAGGAATGTACTTCTGTTCCACACACACGGGGTCACTTGGAGTTGGAAATGACAGACTTGTTTTGGTTTTCTCATAAAAGCTCAAATGGGGTCTCACTCTGGGCAAACTAACTGCTGTCCCCTCGTGGCAAGAAAGGACAGGCCTGGGGCTGGGGAATGTGACGGAAGGGACAGTATGGTACCTGCAGGAGGAAGGAAAGTCAGAGGACAGAGCTCCTCACAGTTGCTTTTCCCCTTTTTATTAAAAATAGACCCAAACATTTTATGTATCATACAAAAGTGTCGTTCGCTGGTGGCAGCCACGGGAAAGACCGGCCCCGTAGCACTGATTTCCCACCTTCTCTCCAGGGAACTGGGTCCCAAGAAACAGTGGCTGGGCCTTGGACAATGCCCACAGAGACTGCTCACTCTGGGAACAGCCAACTGGGGGTGGGGGTGGGCGCTGTTGGAGGGGCAGCTACCCCCACCCCACTCCACAGCAAAGGTTAGCAACTCCGAAGTGCCTCTTTAGTGCCAAGATAAACAAGTGGAGTGGAATGGAAACCCCTTTGATCCTTTTATGTTTTCCCAGGGTCTGGGGTTTGCGTTGTTCCTTCACCCTTCCTCCTATGACTGGGGGTGGGAAACTGTTCCCCTTTAGGGAGGCTGGCCCCTCCCAGTGTTCGAGACCAAAATGACATTCAAACCCAAGCCTTTTCTGATCTGCTCTTCTGTGACCTGGGTCCTACTAGCCCGGTGACCCACGCCTGTCCTCTGCTCAATCAAGAGGAGGTGGGGCAAAAACTGACTCCTCCCATACTTCTCTCTGCCTGAGTCGGTGCCGCCCTGCCGTAGTTTCAAGTTTCAGGACCTAATGGTCCCACAGCCACCCCTTTCCCCAGTCTGTCTCTCCCTGACTGCTGCCCACTCCTGAGCCTTGAACACCCCTGGGGTACCCCAGGCCCCTGTTCCAAAAGAGGCCTGGTAGTGGTGAGGTGAGGGCAGGGGCAGGGTTGATCGGAGCCAGGTTTCCCCCAGGGGTGGGCAGTACTCATGCTGGTATGGACTGCTTGGCAGGGCCAGGGGGCATGTGTAGGGGAGGATGGGGCATGCGGAGGAAGGGCAAAGCCTGCCTGAGCCCCTCAGTCCCAGCCGTTGTCCTTCACCATGTGTGACATTTCAATGATGTACTTCCCTTCCTTGTACTTCTGGCTCGTCTCAAAAGCTTGCTCCTGGTGGAAGGGGAAGCAGTGAGTGTCGGACAAAGCAGTGCCCCTCTGGGTCCTACCACCACCTGGGTTACCTCTGCCCCCAAGTGCGCCTACCCGAGGCCAACCCAGCTACTGGCTCCCTCTTTGGACCACGCAAAGATCTGCCTGGTGGCCCCTGGGCCATGGAGGGCCGTGAGGCCTGCATTTAAAGGATGGCCCTGTTCCCTGAGTACTTACATATTTCCAGCCCAGGGTGGTTTTGCAGCTCTCACAGAAAATGTCAGCTACAGAGTGAAGACCCGTGAGCAGGAGGCGCTGTTCAGCTGGCCCACAGCCCACGTTGACCCTGTCTCAGGAAACAGGAAGGACCCAGCACCCAATGGGGTGTCGCAGTCAGTCCAACCCCCCAGCAGCCCAGTGGAACCTGTGTCTAGAGAGAGGCTGACCCGCCCTGCCTTGGCAGTCCACCCCTTTATGACCAGCTCCTGGGCCTTATTTCTCATGAACATCATGATTCTCCACCCAGAACTCCCCACGAGGGAACTGGGGAGGGATTTTCTGAACCTCTTTTGCAAGAGGGGAGGCCACAACAGAAGACGCAAGATAACCTGATGGCTCTCCCCGTTTCTCCACAGAGGAAGAAAATTCGTACACACACCAGCACACACGCACAAGGGAAGAGGTAGTAGACTCACACGGAGTTAAACAGGTAGGCTCGGCCATGGCTCCCTTGGAAGGACTGTGGAGACATGGGGCAGACAGTGAGGACCTAGTAGCCCTTGGCCCCACTACCCAAATCCCCACAAGGGCGTGAGAGAGAGAAGGGCTTTCTTAGCTCCCTCCTAGGTCATGTTGGCCTAAGCCTGGTGTGAGAGAGGAGGGGAGTGGCAGGTCCCCACTTAGCATACCTTGGAAATAAGCTCATCGTGTTTGGCCAGGTGTGCACGGCAGTGGACGCAGCTGTAAGTGCGATGGCAGCGGGGCAGGTAGCTGCGGAAAGTCTTGGTGGGGAGGCAGGCAGGGCCCGGGCCAGGGTCACAGCTGGGCATGACGGGCTGGAGGACGATGCCCTGGCGGGCCGGAGGGGCTGGCGCCGTGCAGCCCCCACACAGACGATCGCAGGTGAAGCAGCGGAGCAGGTTGGCTAGAGCCGTGTTTCAGGGCAGGAGAAATGTGGGGGGGCTGCCCGGCTAGGGCCCCCCCAGACGAGAAGCAGACAGAAACGGAAGTCACCTGGGAAGAGGGGAAGGTGCATCAGGAGAAGGAGAGCCATGGCCTTGGGAGAGGCTCCGCTGATGGGCAGGTCACTTCCACCTTCCTTCCCCCATCACCGGCACCCTCCTTAGCATCCAGTGGCACTGTCTCTCCATGCCCCCTGGATTCCAGTTCTCTGGCAAGCCTGGCAGTGGGTCCAGGCCTCTGGCACCTTAGCCAGAGAGCTGGCGTCTCACCCTCCTGGGGCTGTGGCAGCCGCCACCATTTTCCACTGAGAGCAGCCCGCGGGCACAAACGCTGCCATGGAGCCAACGTCATCTGCAAGTGCCCTCTCCTTGGTTTTCTGTCTTCCGTGAGGCATTGGGTTGCATAGGCGTTGGTTGGCGCTGTGTCACTGGAGCTCAAGGCCTTTGAGAAGTTGGGAGTGCTTGGTGGTTTTCTTTTGCATGACCTCTGTTTCTGATTCATACGTTCATGTGGGAAGGACAGACGGAATAAGAGAGGGAGAGCAGGCAGACAGGTGCACTCTGCTTCAGCCTTCTCCTGGGACCTGGGGGACAAGAGGCTGCATTCTGGAACTCCTCACTAGACCATCTCCACATGTAGAACCTCTGACGAGGTCATTTCTGAGTCTCCTGCGTTTGGACCATTCAGTCCAACAGAAGCACATGGCTGTCTCCCCAGCCCCAGGGCACAGTTTCTCTGTACTGTTCTTTGCTAGCTGTTGCTTCAGCCCTTAGTGAAGAGCTTAGGTACACAGCTATAGGAGAGAAAACCTCTTTTCTTCAGACAAATCTAACGCTGGGTAACACGGCAGGGAGGCCCCATCCCCCGGGCTGCACAGGGCTGTGAGATGCAGTGTGAGGTGGTGAATGGAGGAGCAGGAAGCCTTGTTTTTGAAAGCTGTGCTTTGGAGCCCAAGGTGGGGACTGTTTTTCTCACCTTCTCCCAGGCACTGGCAGCAGCGACCCTGTGGGTGACTGAAGATGAAAGACTTGCTGGTTCTAATGAACAATCCTAAAGAAGGTGTTGGTATCTGCCCAGAGTGGCTGGGCACTGGAGGCTGGGGATAAGCAGGGAGGTATGGCCTGTGGGCCCTGATAAGCAGGTGGGGTTCTTCTGGGGCCTTCTGGCCCATGGTGGTGGTAAACCCAAGTCTGGTTTGGGGATGCCAGCTGGGGACTCTGCACTGTTAGACAAGGAACAGAGTGTGGCTCACATCAGCCCCGGCAAACAGGCTCTCCGTGTCCTGCCCTCTGTGGTGACTACAAGCAGCCCGATTGCTCCACTCTGCTTAGGCCACCAAGCAGTCTCTCCACAAAAGGCCCGTTAGAGACCATCTTCAGTTTCAAGACTTCTCCCCCTGGCTGGGGCCCAGGAAGACACCTTGGGCTGATTCAGGGTGACATTGGGTTCTGGCCGCAGGGAACGGGCCCTCCTCCCTGGCCAGCTGACCACTGTCCCGCGTCCACCTCAAGGTATGCCTTCCAGTTGGCCTGCCAGCGCCCCTGGGACCCACACGGTGTAGCGACGCCTTCCAGGGCCGGCAGGGGGTCGGCCCAGGTGGCTGCGGAGCTCCTTTCCCCTGCTGTCACGCCTCCCGCCCCCCCCCCCCCGCCAAGCTGAAGAGCGGCTGCACCGAAGGCCAGGGCAGCACGGAACGGAGATTAGGGGCCATGTCTTCCTGTGGCTCGGATCACAGGGAGAAGCAAGGTGGGCAAATGACGGGGACAACAAAGGCTGTGGGGAGGGAGGTGGGCACTGATGTGACAGAGGGCTGGACCGAGGGCAGTTGGGGGGAGGGGAGCATCTGAGCCCCCAGCGCTGACCGGAGGCGCCCAGGCGGAGGCTCCAGGAGCCAGGTGCGAATCCCGTGCCTCGGAATAAGAGAAAGGGAGGCAGACATCTGCTCCCAACGGTTTTGCTCATCTGCTCGGAGGCTCAGCCCCCCACCCCCGGCTGGCCTGTTCCGTATGGTATGGTCCAAACAATTAGCAGCGCCGTCAGCGCCCCGGGATGGCTTTGGGGGGTCTGCACCAGCAGCAAATAATGAACGGTGACGCCTGATGCTGCAGCCGAAGTTGCCGGGGAAGAAGTGGTGGAACCGTCAGAGCTTGGAGAGGGATGGAGGAGCCGAGAGAGAGGAGCCGAGGCAGCGGGGAGGGGGAAGGGAGGGCAAAGGGTGGATGAAGAGCGCTTTTGCGGAGGGAAGAAAGCAACACGCAGCAGGAGGAGGAAATTTGCAAAGGGGGGAAAATCAGCGGAGAAGGGCTGCCCCCTCACCTTGAGGTCTGCTCCAGAGATCTCCGTCTATCTCTCTGTCTCTCTCAATCTCTCTGCTCACTCTTCTCTCTTCTCTTTCTGCTCCTTCAATTGGGAAGGGGCGGGGGGCGGGGGAGGGTAGTCAGGGGGTTCTGGACCCGGGTCTGCAAAGCTGGCCAGCTGCTGGGGGGGCAGAGGTTGCCTCTCTTTCTGAGCCTCGGTCTGTGGGTGAATGTGGCTGTGTGTTGTGGAGCTGCATCATAACACTGTGAGTCATCCGTCCCCCACCCCCCCTCACCTCCCACGTCAGAGCAGGGCTGGGAGACACAGGAGGCGGGCAGGGAGGAAGGGAGGGGGCTGGGGGAATGATGCAAGGGACAGGGCGACCAGGGGAGAGGCAGGTGGCCGAAGAGAGAGGCAGTGTGGCCCAGAAGCCAGGAAGAGCCTGAGGGAAGGCCAGAGCTGGGCTCGATGGAGTCAGGATGGCTGGCCACGGAGAAAGCGGCCAGTCGGGTGAGGGCTGGATGCAGGGTCAGGCCACCATACACACATTCGAGATGTGTATATTCGACATTTTCCCATTTCAGCTCAGAGACCAGCCTGAGGCAGGGAAAAGAAGGATAGACGAATTTCACGGATGGCAGACTGTGCCCCCAAGTTTGTACCAGGCACACCCAAGCCTCAAAGCCTCAGTTTAATACCCCAAAGGACCACATATGACATCTCACCTGCAGGACCTTCTTATCTCCCACCTCCAGACTACAAGTGCTTGGTGAACTGAGACATATATCAGGTTTTCTTCTGGGCTGTAAACTTTCTAAGGCAGGTCCTCTGGGAAGTCGTCTGTGTATCCCGGGGCTGCAGTACCTTGCGCAGTCTTGCATCCGGAAGATGCTCACAAAATAGTATTTGAGCTGCATCTTCAGACTGGGACTGAATATGTGGCTTTGGTCTCAAAGAGCCCTGAACTGGAATCCTAGCTTTGTCAGTTACTTACCAGGGACCACAAGGCAAGATACCCATCCTCTTCGTGTTTCAATTTTCCTCTTCTGTTAAATGAAACTACTAGTATTTACCTTAGGAAGATGTGAAGTAAAGTGAGATACCATGTAAACATGTAAGAAGTGTCTGGCATACGATAGGTACTTAGTAAACAGTGCTGTTGTTAGCAGCCACTGAGTTAGCTCTCTGATCCTACACCGTACCAGAAGGGGTTGAGGTGATCCATGGCTTTTCATTGGCTGATGTTCGGAAGTGGGTTGCCAGTCCTTTCTTCCTAGTCATGGTAGCCTGGAAGCTCCTCTGAAACCTGTTTAGCATCTCAGCAACATGTAAGCCCCCACTGACAGGCAGATGGTGGCTCATGTGAGCTGCATGGGCAGGAAATCAAGCCCGGGTCTCCTGCATGGAAAGACCTGAACCACCACTGCCCCCTAGTAAATGTTGTTGTTGTTATGGGCCCTCGAGTCGGACCCAACTCATAGCAACCCCTCCTTGGGTTTCCGAGGCGGTATCACTATGGAAGTAGATCGCCCAACCTTCCAAGGAGTGGCTGGTGGGTTTGAACTGCCAGGCTTCTGATTAGCAGTCAAGTGCCTTAGGCACTATGCTACCAGAGTTTCTCCCTAGTAAATAGTTAGGGTTATTTCAAAATAGCATCCTCCTCAAATAGAGACTTGGACAGCAGTGTTCATTGAGGCACTATTCACAATAGCCAAAAGGTGGCAACAACCGATGAGTCCACAAGCAGATGAATGGATAAACAAATGTGACACACACAACGGAGTATTATTCAGCCACAAAAAGCAATGAAGTTCTAACACATGCAATGACAGTCAATGAGCCTTGAAATGTGCTAAGTGAAATAAGCCAGATACAAAAAAGACAAACATTTTATGATCCTAAATACATTAAAAAAAAAAAAAAAAGAGAGAGAGAGATCTAGAACAGGCAAATGCATCCAGAGAGAAAATAGATTAGTGGTTACCATGGGCTGGGGGAGGGGAGATGGAGTGTTAATGCTTAGTGGGTACAGTTTCTGTTTGGGGTGCTGAAAAAGTTTCAGAAACTAATGGTGTTGATGGGTTTACAATATTTTGGGTTTAATAAAAGTCACCAAATTCTACACTTTAAAATGGCGTGTTTTTTTTTTTTTTTTTTTTTTTTTAATATTCTAGTATACGGATATACCACGTTGTGTTTATCCATTCATCAGCTGATGGAGATTTGGGTTGTTTTCACTTGTTGGCTATTAAGAATAATGTCACTATGAACATTTATGCACAAGGTTTTATATGAACATTTTTTTTTTTAAATTTATTGTGATTTGGGTGGAAGTTTACAGAGCAAATTCCTTTTCCATACAGCACTTCATACGCTTTTTTTGTTTCATGACATTGACTGCAACTCCCCACAATGTAACACCGAATTTTGTGTTATACATATTTTTCAGGAGCTCTTGTAGTGTAGTGCTTAAGGCACTTGACTGCTAACCAGAAGGCTGGTGGTTCAAACCCACCAGCCACTCTCTGGAAGGAAGGTTGGGCAACCTAATTCCATAGTGATACTGTCTCGGAAACCCAAGGAGGGGTTGCTGTGAGTTGGGTCTGACTCGAGGGCACATAGTAATAATAACAAACAATAAAAAATATTTGTTTGCAACTAAAAACAATAATTAGATTTATAATAAAATGTATTTATTGGGCACACACGCACACACAAAAAGACCCTTGAAAACAAAACACTAAAACTAACATCCTCAACTTATTACCCTTAAACCCCAAGGTTTACTATTAGATTCCAATATCTTGAGAGACACACGCCAAATGTCTTACAAAGAAATTACTTTTTTTTTTTTCTGTCATCTTTCTATCAATGTCTAGTTACATTTCATGGAATACTGTCCTGGTCATGTCACTAAAGTGTGTGTACACAGACTATATCCCCTGAGACGAAAACCCTGATTTCTAACAGAGGCTTACACTGAGAGTGAAGTGCAACACAGATGGAGACTTACGGAAAGGAGTGCTTGCGTGTGGTTGTTTTTCACATGCACTGAGGGACGAAAAGTTAAGGGGGTTTGTAACGGGAGGTACTGCTAGCTGGTAAGGAACACAAAATGGAATTCAGAATATATAATCAGGGAAGATTCTAGGCTTTAAGGTTAATTCTGAAAAACACAATGGGGCTGTCTTGAGGGATGATACAAAGGGAGAACTGGGTAAAGAAAGAAGCCAGAAGTGTTCTTGTCTGGGCAGCAGGTGAGAAAGGAAATGTAAGTGGAGGAGGGATTTGAGGAGCCATTGTTGAGGAGAACAATGCTGTTTGTTGTTGTTATGTGCCAAGTCGGACCTGACTCATAATGACCCTTCCTTGGGTTTCTGAGGCAGTATCACTACAGAAGTAGATTGCCCAATCTTCCTTCCCAGGAGTGGCTGGTGGGTTTGAACCGCCAGCCTTCTGGTTAGCAGTCAAGTGCCTTAGGCACTATGCTACCAGAGCTCCTGAGGAGAACGATAGGGAGTGGGAAAAGAAAGGTGAGCTTTTAGGACAGATTGAAAGTTTGGGAGCAAGAAGAATAGCTGTAAATTTAAATCAACACAGGAAGAAAACAACCTAGGATTTAGCTGGAGAGGAGAATGAGGACATAGGAAGATGGTTATTGTTTGGGGCTGGGGTGGTAAAGACTGGAGTGCTTGGTGAAAGATGGAAAGTGAGAAGAGGAGCATGTAGGCAAGCCCAGAACCTTCCTAGGCTGTGTCTGACTCTGTATTTAAGCAAAATGAAGAGGAGTTAAAGAAAGGTAGAGTGTTCTTCTCCCTGAACTCAGTTTGAGCTGGTGTACTAAATCCAAACAAAGGTGACCTTCAGACAATGGGAGAAATTGCCTCAAGGGAAGGGACAGAGTGTGGAGACTAGGAGAAATAGATCTGGGAGATGCATGGCACAGAAATAGGAGAGGACAGATCACCAAGGGAGAAAATATGCAAATTTTCTGAACTGAGTTTTTGAAGAATGATGAAAGATTGTGTTTTGAACTGCTGTCCAGTCTGCCCCCAATTCATGGCGACCTCCATGTACAATGGGATCCAACTGTTACAATTTACAGGATTTCCATTGGCTGATTTTCAGAAGTAGATGGCTAGGCCTTTGCTCCTAGTCTGTCTTGGTCTGGAAGCGTTCTGAAACCTGCTCAGCATCCGAGCAACATTGCAAGCCTTCACTGACAGATGAGTGGTGGCTGTGCAGAGGCGTGTTGGCTGGGAATCGTACCTGGGTCTCCCTCACGGAAGGCGAAGATTTTACCACTGAGCCATCAGTGCCCTCAGATGCAATTCCCACTTGGCAATGTTTGTTTATTTGTTTTTAAATAGTGAATTGGAGAAGGAATGCATGCATGAAGAATGAGTGAAGTAACTAAAGCAGACCCTCACAGAATGCAGGGAGAAGTCAGAATTGCACTGCTTGGAAACTGAGTGCTAAGGTAGGGCAAGCAAGAGAAAGACAAGGCAGTACATCTTCCTAGGTTTGTCAGTGGAGACGAACCATGTGAACTGGACTGAAGACAGAGAGGGGTAACATATAGTACCCCAGCATTCTTATGTACTATATATAACTATATATACCATATATATATACTTACATATATATTAGTATAGGTGTTCTGGTGGTGTGGTGCCTAAGGCATTTGACTGGTAACCAGAAGGTGGGCGGTTCAAACCCACCAGCCACTCCTCGGAAGGAAGGTCGGGCAATCTACTTCCGTAGTGATACTGCCTCAGAAACCCAAGGAAGGGTCACTTTGAGTCAGATCCAACTCGACGGTAGTCAGGTTTTTTTTTTTTTTTTTTTTTTTTTTAGTAGTATACTTATATACGATACACAAATATATATATATATTATTATATACTATTCTTTATAGTATCAAAGCATTCTTGTGAGTGTTAAATAAGTTTACATTTGTAAAGTGCTTAGAACAGTGCCTGGCACCTAGCAGCATATAAAACCAAACTCACTGCCGTGGTCAATTCTGACTCATAGCAAACCCTCTGTGGGTTTCCGAGACAGTATCTCTACTGAAGTAGATTGCCCAGTCTTCCTTGCGAGGAGTGGCTGGTTAGCTTTCTGGTTAGCAGTCAAACACCTTAGGCACCACACCATGAGAGCTCCCAGCAGTATATAAGTGTTTATATAAGCAGTATTTAAGTGTTTCCTATTAGTATAATAACTGGACTTGAACTCCAAAACCCTGCGCTTGAATCCTAGCTC